GAGTTGGGCGAACGTTCCAAAAGCTGCTATTCAATCGCTTGTTTTGTATGGAAAAAGGTTTCACATGCAAATGGATTTTAACAATTCAGAATTTTTGTGAGAAAAAATTAAAAATATTTGACATTTTCGAGACCAAATAATTTGAAAATAAATCAAATCAGCTGCTCTACTGATACTACCTGTTCAATGTACCTTGCTTCTACCTGTTTTATTGTACCATGGTTTCAAGTAATATTTCAGCGGCGGTGCACAAGCTACGAAAACCCACAAATACAAATATTTGAAAGTTAAAAAAAGTACAACGTAATCTGCATAAAACTTGGAATAACAAGTTTAGCTGGAGCTCAGCAATTTTGATGCTAGGCGCATCCTTTTCCAGGAAAAAATACTCAAAAAGAATGTTACATTTATACCTACGTTCTTTTTTTTTAAATTTGTAAATTGTAACTCTAAATTTTTTAATACGTGCACATTAGGGCGGAGTAATTTGTTAGGAGCAAAATTTTCGTAGAAAATGTATAGCAAATTAAAATTCTACGATCCTAAGCCAAAATGGCGAACAAACTATATACCAAAAATTATGTTTGACCCTCCCAATTTTCAAAAGTAAAAGCTGTATTTTGTATGAAGAAAACACGAAATTTTGTAAATAAATTATTAATTTCGTTCAGAAAAAATTATAATAAACTGATTTTTCTTTTAAAAATTGAGGGGATCAATCGTAATTTTTGGTATATTTTGTTCGCAAGTTTTGCTTAGAATCGAACGTAGAGTTCGAATAGGCTATACACCACTTTTTTCGAAAGTAAATAACTCCGCCCTAATGTACATATCGTAATTTTTATTTGTATAAATATTGCGACAATCTATTTCGTTTCTTTTTAAATAATATTTTGCTAAAAAAATACCGTTTAAAATGGTGAATTTATTTAAATTAATCTGAGATAAAGCCAAACATTTTTTGAAAATAAGTCTTCGGTCTTCATTTTAAAGTTGAATCCGTACTTCTGGCAACACTGGATACATCTCGAAAGTGGACAAAGTATAATAAAAAAATCTTCAAGTAGCAGCACTTGGCGCGCACTCCAGTTTTGTGAGCGGGAGAGCGGTTACTTATTACTCTTTTAGTACATAATTGTGGACGCATAGCTTTGTTTAGCTTTTTAATTTTTTTCTTTATTCACTTTACTAAAATCATACATACATACGTACATATGTATATAAGTTAGTGAGCGCATGTGAAACTTGCTACCGGCATTGATAGATAATACACTGTCGATACACGCCGCCTGAAATATTAATTAATATGAAGATAAAAAATATCACCAAACAAACAGATGTTTTGACAATGTAACATGTATGTGCATATGTACATTTAAACAACCCGTTTCGCTTGAATAGGTACAGCTAATTTCTTGAACTTTACGTTACTTGCATGTTTCCGCGATATGTTTAGCTCCGTCAATAATAATCAACTTTTTATACGTACATATGTATATGCTTGTATGTACGTCAACGCCGATCAGACAGAGATTTTACACTGAGTATGTTCATACTAAATGTGAAGAAAGCTTTTAAAACCTACTCCCGCGGTCGTCATTATGTATGATCGCTCAATAGGCAAGATTTTTCTTTTATGGCCTTAAAGGTTTTTAAATTTCTCAGCAAATTTTGTGTTACACATTTTTTCGTAAGTTAAGATATATTTTCTTTTTCTTGTTTGGCCAAATTTTGGTGGAGTCCAATAAAAACGCCAGATATGTATCTTCCCTGTCAACTGACGCCATTTAGAAATGTCAACTGAAGCCAAATCCTTCTCTACCATCCATCGGAAACCGGGCAGACGAGGATACTGCCACCACCGCAGGGTGTCGGTGCTGACAACGTTCAAGGCTAGAGAATTCGTGCGCATTCGTATGAAAATACCAAGGCAGTGACGTGAGTGTTAGGACGCGTATGCGCCAACTGTTTATTAGATGCCAATAGATATGTACGAGGTTTGCTTCTCAATCGATGTCGTCGATATATGAAAGCAAGTATACGCTCTTGTAAAAAATTGTACCGGAGTTCTGCAGCTCTTTTTACCATCTCCAATATCAGATCAAAGAAATCATATGAAAGGCAGCCGCAGCTCAAAGTCATTTTACACAACCGCATTAGTTTTTCAGGAGTACCTAATTTAGAAAACGCGGCATAAAGGAAACTTTTTTTCTTGCTGTCTAGAGCGGCTTTGAAATCGACAAATATACTGGGTACGTCGATCCTATTTTCGAGATTCTTTTCCAATATTTGGTGTATGGTGAATATCTGATCTAAAGCCACACTGAGCTTCAGGTTTTCATAAAATAAGCATAAAATAAGACCTCACATTGCGTGCGTCGACAATCAATTTGGTTTCTCGTCATTTGATCTGAAAATAGCCTGTACACTATCGATCGGCATTATTTCCTTATATAATTTTTCGTCATATCATAGAGGCTGGGTTTTTCTACGGTTGAAAGAAAGAGCCCTTTCGTACTTAGTCTGGCATTGGACTTGGAACAGGACTTTTTACGACCTAGAACTAAAATCGTCCAGTTACGAACACATTCCGTTTAATGCTTCGGGCATTCCAGATGTGTACCCTTAAATCAAAACCCTATAAACATTACCAGAGTCTCACGCGAGTCCTTGCTTTCGTTTTGTTGACTTGACCGTTCGCCAAATACCAACGCACAACCATATCTTCGATTAATTTTTTAGCTAAAATCGCTTAAATATTGTCAAGCTGGCAGCTGTTTTTACTAGGGCGCACTTCGAGTTGTATAGACGCTGCGGACTTCAGGGGACATTTAAAGGAGTCGGACGAATTGTTTACCACACCTAGCGCATGGGCTACTCTCGTTACCCATGGTGCGCGAACGTGAACGAAAAAGTAGGAATCGAGTAGAATCGAGTAATTGGTACTGCTTACCCAGAAGCCCTAAAAAGATAAGTTTTTATAGGACCATCTCAGAAAAAAACAAGTTTTGTTTTCAATGAGATTCATATTTATATGTGTATATAAATTAATGCAAATGTTATTTAAAATAACCTAATTTAGGCGATAGTTTAGAGTATGATTTATTTCTGTTTCTTACATTTCATGAAAACCAAAAAAGTTAAATTTTTTTTAACCCAAATAAAACTAAATACTAAAACACGGAAAGTTTGTATTCAAAAGCACATTTATTTTTAATTACCAAGTATATCTACCTAGTGTTCTGTAGCGCTAATTAGCGCTCGCGTCCTTCTCAAATTCTTCCTCTTCATCAGATACGGAACCATAGAGCATTCGCTTGTCATATAAAGCATCCCATGCGGCCAGCTTAGGGGCATCTGGTATTTGCATTACTTGCACCTCATGGCTAATGTTAAGCCCATAATCGGCACTTTTCTTTTCTATTGGTACCCAAATATGAGGTTCGATATCCGCACAATTCGGATCACCCAATTTCGCAAAAGTTGTCCATATACCAACCATGCGTTGAATGGTTACATGCTCGTGTGAATCCTCGGCCAATTTGCTAGATTCTTGTAAATAGAATAAGTATGAGATCTCATCGGCATGTGCAACACCGTTTACACAGTCCTCGCCGCAGAAGCGTAAGCGATGATGATTAAAGGTGGGCGAGTCAAAGTCAAATCGGTAGAGAAATGTGTTGGCCGTGGCATATTTCATGCGCGCAAGTGCTGTGCGGTGGACGGCATGCCAGAAAAGCTTGTGCGAGAAGAGCTGATTTGCCAAAACAAACAAAAAAAAACACAAAGATTTGATATGCGTGTTGAAAGCATTATAATTTTCAATTATACTCACATGCAACAAATCGAATATGGGATCCTGCGTTGGCTGCGTTGTCACCACTTCGTCCTTCTGCTTACCGAAATACAGATTAAGTATGCGTTCACCCATAACCCGATTTTCGTTATCTTTATGACTGTATTTCACTTCGGTAGGCAGTAATAATTCAGGCTGCTGCCTAACTAAGTCAAATATTTGCGGGTGTGTCTTGAGACGAGGATACATAACTAAGCCCTCAAATGAATTGCCACCTATGAGCATAGGTATGCCATTACCCCATGCTGACTTTAACATATTCAATGGATCGGTGGGTATAATACAATTATCTGATTCATATGGCTCTACAGTTGGTGCGAAAGTTAGCCAATGGAATTCACGTTTTTCTGCATCGTTAAGCAGCGAATGGTCCACTAATTTCGACGCATCCAAATTTTCCAAGTAGGCAAGCACTTCCGTGTCATTATTTCTTCCTTTGTAACCATGGTGTACAGCTAAACGGTAAGCCAAATCTCTTTGGGTCATATTAGCCCAAGAGCAAAGTGCGGTACCTGACATCAAAATTGCCTGTTGGAAGAGTCCACGAGCCTGATCGGTCAGGGATAAAATATGTGCGCACGCAGCGCCAGCGCTTTCACCGAAAACTGTGATATTATTGGAGTTTCCATTGAAGTAGTAAATATTGTTTTTGATCCACTTTAGAGCGAGCAGTTGGTCCTTGAGTGCGGCATTACCAGGTACGTCGAGGCGAGGATCGCTGAGGCTAAGGAAACCTAAAATAGAAAAAGAACTTTAATTCGATGACCTATCTTAACTTTATACTAACTCAGCACTCCCAGACAAACTATCCTATCTCGATGAACTGTTACCCCAAAACATACTCTGGGCACACCAGACAATTAGGTAGAGCTATAGAAATTGGCAGATCAGTTTACGCGCGTTTGCTGAAGGCACTCAAAGAAGCTTGCCCAAATATGAGGTACAAGATAAGTTAGGAAGAAATTTCATTGTTTGAATAAAAAAATTGATGGACACTCTCTGAAAGTTATGTGGAAAGTCCTGCAATTTAGGCACGGCTTCCTTACAAACCGAACACGAGGAATTATAAAAGAGTTCTCAAGAAATCGAACCTAAATGAGACTTCTGCAGCGACATGGAAGTAGATTTTGGAAAATACTCTCCGGCGATTCCCAATTACATTAATTTAAAATATTAATCAAGGGGTTTAATAAGGGTTTGAGTCTGCGATCGCAAGGAGTTTTTTCCTTAAGAAAAAGCTTAAACTGTTCTATAATAATAATAATAATAGATTGGCGCTTATACATAGCTTCTCCTCCGATTTGTGGCGTGTGCCCTATTGTCACACAAGCGCGCACTGCTTACCACTACACCACAGAGGTCGCCTTATACTTTTATTTTAATTGCAGAAAGTCTACAACAAAGATTTCATAATACTACAATTTAATTCGTCAAAATTGGTCGACAAACGAAAACAGGCGGCGAACAAAATGTGAGTCCCCATTAAATCAGAATCTGATAGCAGATAACTTCGTCACTATATATAAGCTCCTAGATTAAAAGCTACATAATTATACCTATCTAATAGATACAATTTAATGAGTCAGTATTTTTTTTTAAGTGATTAGATATTAGCTTGGCTAAAAAAAAAATCGAAATTTATGTCTTATGTTAACTCGGTCGATTATTTGGGTGGTAACGTTACATTCTCACGTATTTGTTTACAGTACCCAATAAACATTGGGCTTGGTTAACAATTCTGAAATGATTAGAAAAGCAAAATTTTTTCGAGTCTTACTTTCGATAACTAATGTAGAATAGATTCGTATTCGAATCGAAAACTAGGCCATTCTCCAGCAAAACCGAATATCCGTTATCCTATGTATTTTTCCTTTGTTATGAATGTTGATTAGAGAGAGTGATTGTCTTATATTTCCCTTCAAGAATGAGCTGGATTTTACTTCCTTTCTTGTTACTATGTATGGTTTTAATTTTTTTCCGAACTAATCTTGAGCGTATTTCCAATATTCTATGAAGGTTGAAAAATTAAGGTTGGTTATGAGTTCGTTCTCAGTTCGATATGCATATTATATATCGAAGGTCACTTTCGAATGTTCGCTTTATGTTTATAAGGTACACTATTTGGAAGTTAAATCATGCGTGGCGTCAGAACATTTAAAATTTCTGCGAATTGGGTGAAGGAGTATTGCTAGTTTTTCAGCATGCCATCTGCAATGAGTGCTGGAGGATATCTGCATACCAAGTTATTTTAAATTTTAGGTTTTCGCTAAATTTTTTTCTCATAAAATTAGGGCCCTGGTAACTTACCAAAACCACTGGCCACGTCACACTCATGGTGCGCTTGGAGAAGGTTTAACTCAAAGGCCTTTCATAAACAAATGTTTGAGCTAAAATTGAGAATCTTCTTTGGAAGGACTAAAAAATATTACTCGGTTATGCTTAAAATTTTTAACTGGGTTAAAAATCTTTCTACAGTAAAAATTTTGACCAGAAAATCTACGTATTACCATCGCAAATAATATTTAAGTAACTTTACTACCATGTTTTGTTTTCAATAATTTCTGAATCATTGTTTTTTTTCCCATACCATCCAAGGCAATTTCAAAACTAATTCGCTGGTTTCTACAACATAGTTCATCTTAGATGTACAAATTTTAATGGATTTATCGCAGTTCTTTAGAAGAGTTTTCGCATAAAAAGCGATGGAAGCGATACTCTATAGTGGTCCGATTTTAGTGGATCCGAAAAATGATAAATACTACATTAAAAAATACACCTGTTTACCAAATTTCAGTCGGATATCTCAGAAACTGAGATACAAGATTTCGTTCAAACGGACAGACAGACGAACATTAATAAGTCGACTAAAATTTCATTTCAAAATCAATGAACTTACCCAAAGAGCACAAGCGATAATTCAAAGATACAAAAACAATATCTTCTTGCAAGAGATAATCGGGTCCATGGTGTTCACGTGCTGCACGACCAGTCTGAAAACCGCCGCCATAAATCCAAACCATCACAGGCAGTTGCTTAGTTGCATTAATCTGAAATTTAATTGAAATTTAATTAATTTCATGCAATATTGACTTCAGCGATTATTTATAACAAAACTGAAAGTAAAATGAGTTCCTATCAGGGTCAAATAGCACAATTTTTATTTTTTTATTCTTTTTCGTCGAAATTAAACCCTCTACTCACATTTTTAGTAAAAACGTTCAGATAAAGGCAATCCTCGCTACCCTCAACTTTACCAGTTCGTAAACTCTTTTGCACCGGCTTGGGTGGACTGTTTGTGCAGTCTAGCGTGTCTTTCCAATTCCCAAAGGGTTTGGGTGCCCGAAAGCGCAACTTTCCAACTGGTGGCTGAGCATAGGGAATGCCCTCAAAGCTGTAGTAGGTATCGCCATAGACAGTCTCGCGTTTTGCACCGCGTATGCGCCCTTGTGGTAATTGCAGTTCCACTGTCTCCAATATGCCAGAGCTGCGTGATATGAATATATACATATTTATGTAATTAAAAAAAAATTAATTGCAATCAAAGTCCATATAATATATGTACTTGCTGAATCATGCATAGAACTTACTCCGTTGCCATTTTGCGTAGATATGATCGTAATATGCTGGTTGAGATTTTAGGAATACTGCTGGTATATCTCTGAACTCTAAAAAACATTTTATTTTATTTCGGGTTTATAATTTGCATGAGTGTACTTAAGTGCAGTTTAAGGTTTTTTTTTTAATTTTTAGAGTCATAAATTTTGAAGTGTTTTCCATAAATAAAAAGAAAAAATAAAATTTAAATAAATATGAGTATATTTACACAGAAGATGTGTTATCCCGCTGGCAGCCACAAAGTGTTTGAAGTACTGCAATTTTGTATACAACGAAAATAACTAATCAATAGAGCTAGTAGTCGCATTAGCAGCTGTTGTGTGCTTTGCAAACTAAATAAGTATATTAGCAGTGCAAACATATGAACATACATTTATACAAAAAGCACCAGCAATCAGCTGTGCAGTGTTTGTCTAAAAGTGAGAGTGAAAATGAGGCAGATAGCGAGAGAAAGCCCCTCTGAATCTAAGTAAACAGGTTATGATGGCGCAAGGTAATAAGAGATTCTCTTACATATTTTTGAGAGCTTATTTGAGAGCTTTCACTGAGAAGTGCAGCGCCAAAAAAAAATTTGTCTTTTCCGCGCCAATCGTTGGCCCCAATCTTTAAAACTACTCAACTCAAAATCCGATTGAGTTAACGCAAAGAGCGCATATTTGTGGAATCTAGCAATATCACTGGAGACTTGCCTTCTAGGTGTCACAGTGGAGGCAGAACAAAAATTACAATGGAAATATATCAATGCACTTTTTTTTTAAATACATACATAAGTACCTATACATGTACATAAGGAAGTACATACTTACATACATATATAACTAGTTCGTCTTCAATCACTACCTTGCACTTTTATTACGTTATAGTAACTCGGTGTTCTGTGATGATTTGTCAAAGTTTTTTTGGTGGAAATATAAGGCGGCCACTATGGCTGGGTGTGTGATTAGAGGCCGGCACGTCTAGAGGTTGGGGGACAGGGGTAATCCCCCTGGGCTGGGCTTTTTAGGGGCCTAAATGCTCATGCTTTGAATAACCATGGTTTTCATTATAGAAACAAATCTTTTTTTCATATTTCCGCGAGAAACTGCTCCTTCGTTACAGACTTTTATCATAAATATGTATATTCCGTTCGAGCTTAGTTTTCTGACTCTCTACATTAAAGAAACCCTAAACGAAAACTCTCAATTGATCACATGCTTTTAAATTATTAAAACTTATGTATAAGGGCCCGTGATTTTTCAGTCCGGGGCCGGAGTTTTTTCTCTCATCTGAGATAATTAAGCACTGTTTTAATTCACTTCACCACGATGTACGCAATCCTGCTGAAGGACTGCTCTATGTCCCCTAGACTGACGTTGTTAATAGCTCCTTCTGTGTTTAAGAAAGCCGGCAACCACAAATTCTTTCTTTTCCAGCGAGGACCCTATAATTTGTACAATTTCATGGAGTGAAAATTATGTATTTAGTGGAATTTTTTTGGTAAGCATGCTGTGCAGTAGACATTCCTTTTAAATACCGTCAAAATTTGTGTTTGGTTATGTGAGATCTCTACAAAGCCTTGCGAAAGTTGTATTCTTTGTCCAGCCGGACAATGGCTTAAAAGTTTTTGTATATTTGCTATATTCCAAAGATTCTTCAAACTATGAATACCAATAATAAAGTTGCCAGTAAGTGTCCTCATAAGAGATGCAATTGCCTTTCTGTTTAACCTTCATCCAGTTTTGGTAGGAAAGTTGCCATATTTGGCAACACTGGTTATAACTTCGAAAAAGTGGACGTTGTCGTTTATTTAGGGACCATCGGTAACACCAATAATAATATCACCCTTGAAATCCAACCGAGAATCACTCTTGCCAATAAGAGTTACTTTGGACTAAGTAGGCAATTTTGAAATAAAGTCCTCTCCCGTCGTACAAAAGTCACACTCAATGACAGCTCCCTTCGAGGAGAGGTAATGGTTTGGCTAAAGTGCTATAAAACATCCAACCAAAATAAAGAAACCTCGAACAGAGCTGAAGCTTCATAAAATAAGTACTAGCACAAATTTACACAACAAACACGAAGACGACTGGGATGTCGATGCCCTTTTTTCAAATAGAATATATTATTATTATTATTATTAAACTTTGAAGAGAAAAATAGAGGTTCCTCTCGAGTTATAATATATACCCCGTTAACGGAATTGCTGGCGAATTAAATAAATTATTTCCAATTTGTGTTTGTTATTTATGGCCTTATACAAATTATATTCAACAATTTTATTGAGCTTAAGGCCGGCTGTAATGTATGTAAAACTATTATGGAAAAGCAACAATAATTTATAAAAATGGTTTGTTGAATAATTACCAATGTAAATGTAAATAATTATTGTAAATAAAGAGTTTTTATTATTTTCCTTAATAAATATTAATAATAATTCCCATACATTTACATATATATCTTTTTCTTTTTGCTTATTTATTTATCTACGGTAGTTGATTATTTAGTGCTCGTACTCTCTTCGAAATCCTCCTCTATATCAGACACTGAACCATAGAGCATTCGCTTGTCATATAAAGCATCCCACTCCTTTAGCTTAGGGGCATCTGGTATTTGCATTACTTGCACCTCATGGCTAATGTTAAGCCCATAATCGGGACTTTTCTTTACTATTGGTAGCCAAACGTGCGGTTCGATATGCGCACAATTCGGATCGCCAAATTTCGCAAAAGTTGTCCATATACCAACCATGCGTTGAATAGTTACATACTCGTGTGTATCCTTGGCCAATTTGTTAGATTCTTGCAAATAGAATAAATATGAGAGATCATCGGCATGTGCAACACCGTTTACACAGTCCTGGCCGCAGAAGCGTAAGCGATGATGATTGAAGGTGGGCGAGTCAAAGTCAAATCGGTAGAGAAATGTGTTGGCCGTGGCATATTTCATGCGGGCAAGTGCTGTGCGATGCAGACCATGCCAGAAAAGCCTGTGCGAGCAGAGCTGGTTGCCGAAAAGAAAAAAACATATATATAGAAATTGATATGGAACTGGAATTTACTGTTCTTAATTTACTAGAGACTTCAGTTTTCAACAAATTTGATTAATATTTTTTTTAATAAAAGCTTATAAAAATACCAAAAGACCAGTTGAGCACGATTTTTGAAATTTTAATTGTATGTATTAAATTTTGTAGTGCAAAGTGCAAAATAAGGAAAAAATTTTGAAGAAAATCGATTCTCCTGTTCCGGTTAATAAATTTTAGGGTTCAGCCAAAATAAAAAAAAATCACCAATTTGAAATTAAAAACAAAAATTTCACCAAATTATTATTTTTTATTTTTTAGAAAATTTTTCTTATGGTGTTTTAGAGACCATTTAATTTTGGTTTTAAAAAAATCTAACAGCCAATTTTACGAAAGCAATTTAAGTGAAAGATGATTTTAATTTTTTGAATTTTATATGGAAATTGACAGAAAATTTAAAATCATTTTCCATTTAAATTGCCGGTGATACCGGATGTAATGTATTGACAAATGACGGCTCCAGTGAATTATGGACTTAAATGCCAGCTTTGCACCACTGTACATCGTTACTCTTTTATAGAAAGGCCCTAACTAAAGTATAAAAAGCAAAATACTTACCTGAGTTCCGATTTTTTACCATACATAGATTTTTTACACAGAAGTTACATAATTTCTTGACGTAGTTGCTTTGAAATTTTTCATTGTGCAAAGCTTAATTGTGACAAGGACATGAGTTAGGGTCTTTCTATATTAATGTACCGATATACATTTATTTACATAAGTATGTATACTCACATGCATTAAATCGAATAAGGGATCTTGATTTGGCTGCTTTAACACCACTTCGTCCCTCTGCTCACCGAAATATAATTTAAGTATACGCTCACTCATAATTCGGTTCTCAATTTTATTATGAGCACGTCTCAGTTCAGCAGGCAGCAATATTTCTGGCTGTTGTCTAACAATATCCAGAATATGTTGAGACATCTTCAGATGTGGATACAACAGTAGTCCTTCAAACGAAGTGCCACCCATAAGTATAGGAATACTATTACTCCAAGCTGTCCTTAACATATTAAACGGCTCGGTAGGAATTATGCAATTATCGGATTCATAAGGTTCTACAGTCGGAGCAAAGGTGAGCGGTAGAAAATAACGACTTTCATCATCGTTGACCAATGAATGCTCAACTAATTTCCCCGCATCTAAATTTTCCAAATACGCAAGCACATCACTGTCTTTATTTTCACCCTTATAGCCATGGCGAACAGCCAATTGGTAAGCCAAATCTCGTCGAGTCATTAAAGCCCAAGGGCAGAGAGAGGAGCCGGACATCAGAATTGCCCGCTGAAAAAGATCACGCGACTGTTCGGTCAACGACAAAAAGTGTACACATGTGGCGCCTGCGCTTTCACCCAAAAGTGTGATGTTATTGCAATTGCCACCGAAGTAGTGAATATTCTTTTTTATCCATTTTAGAGCCAGCAGTTGATCTTTGAGAGCGGCATTACCAGGTACATCAAGATTTGGATCACTTAAACTAAGAAAACCTGAAATAGGAGACGAAATAAAAGTTTAATCAAACTTAGTGGGTTGAGAAAAAACAAGATTGTTGGCGAAAAATAGCAAGCTATACTGAATGTGATTGTATGCGGGTGTTGTAGAAACTAAATAAATTAGGAAAGTAGGAGTGGTTCTGAAAGCCTGACTTGAAAGACTCGCCTTGAACATAAAGTCTACAAAGCCTTGGTGATGTTATGGTAAAGTAAACAGATCGTTAGCAGAAGATTCTACAATTTTGAGTCACCTGAGGTCATCAAAGCTGCTCGAAAATAAATCTAAAAAGCTTCACTTTCCTGCCCAACGGATCAATTCAAATGCCCTGATCAGCGCCCTGAAATGCAAGCTCTTCCGTACGAATGGGCAGTGTGTGGTGGACACACTGGCCATCTTGGTAGGATCGAAACCTACCTAAAGTCTCTGCCATTCTCTGGGTCCCAGCACCCGGTTGCAATGCAACTCCACAATGAACCATTGCTGTTTCTACCCGAATTTAGGTGGTAAAACACAATCACCACGTTACTCCTCGAAGGGTCGCACCATGAGCAGACCGGAGTAATGCTCACCAGCTAGACTCGCCGGACTCGCTCAATCTGAACAAATCGCACAGGCCAGAGTTGGAGACATTTGCACCATTACACACCATTTCACCAATTTTTCTTCTTTTTATTCAACTTCTTTCTCTCCGTCCTGCCGGCGTACAATGTGCTGGTCTTGCGCGCCTAGCTCGTCCATTTTTGTTTGTAAATCTAGCCAGCGAGCACGCAA